CTGGTGTATCTTGAATGAAACACTGAGTCTCAATTTCCTCATCTGTAAAATGAGTATGAGTTTGACACAATTGCTGTGAGGATTGAAAAGTATGATGCTTGTAGAATTGGCTAGAGGGACTGTGCACATTGCACCAACACAAAGGAAACCAATATCTGACATCAAAGGAGAAAGTCTAATGAGCTGAAGACTCTTAAGAAGTAACCACGAATTAGACTAGATAGAGATCTAGAGAGAGAAACACACAATAGGAAGAGTCTAGACTCCTCCTCAGGGGGAAAAAATGGAGGTTGGTTTGATTAACTTTGATTTTCCTTTGTCAGCTTGATAAACATTTAATTGTAGTAATATTAAACAGTCTACAATTCTTTGAAGCTCTTTCAATGTGGACAAGGAACTAGTTTGTTTTTTTAAAGACGTTTCATATATTTTTCACAAGCTGTTTTCAAAAGCTATACTTTCAAATGTAAATATAGACTTAATGCGCTTTAGCAAATTAAGCAATTTTAAAGGTTTAACATGGGAAACTTAATCCAAGGAAATTATTTTAGTAGTAATAACCAAAATTTACTAAGTCCTATTAGGTACCTGTGCTTTCTATGTCCTATCTCTAATCCTCACAAAATGGAGGTAATAGATATTGTCACTCTCACTTAATAGGTAAGATTGGAGCCCAGAGGGTTTTACTAACTTGGCCAAGGTCACACACATAGAAAATGGCAGAGCAGGATTGTGAACCCAAGTTTGAGAGACTCCAAAATTCACCGCCCTGCCTTACCTTCACCCTGAAGGAAAATCACTGAAAAGGGGCACATGACCAAGCCTGGGCAGTCACAGAGGGCTTTCAGGAGGAAGTGATGTTTGAACATAGTCCCAGAAGGAAGAATAGGAGTCTTGAAGGCAGGTGAGAGGTTGGGGGGACATATGAAAGGCATGAAAGTGAGAAAACATAATGCTTTCAGGGAACAGCAAGTAACTGATGGATGGCCCTTTATGACTTACAGAGTACTTTCACACGCAAGTTCCTGTTCTGTCTTCAGGAAGGAATTACCATCTTTCCCATCTTACAGATGAAAACAAGGCACATTGGAGATGCAATGACCTGCTTAAGCACACAGAAAAAGTAAATTGCTGACCTAAAGCTCAGAGTCAGATCTTCAGAGGCCAGATCCTGGGCTGCTCCTGGCTGTGGTAGTTAAAAAACTTCGCTACATATTTTCCATTCTAACCTCATGTGGTTTTATCATATCTTTCCTACCATTATTTCCCTTCTGTTCCAATTATTTCACCTACTTCTTTTTACTTTATTTTATCTGATCATTGCATATATTTTTGTGAGCTTGCTCAAACTAACGTTCAATGAACCAGGGCATGAATTGATAAAAACTTCAATACGCACAAAAAAGAAATTGTTTTGATATTTTATATACCCTTCCAGTTCTGGGCCTTAGGAAAACATATCTTTATCCAATTGTGATGTTAAGGGATATACAATTTTGTGTATCGCTAGTTTCATTGGAAGCTCCATCAGAAACATGTTTCTGTGTTGCTACACTCTTCGTGATGATAATTTTCTATGACTGCATTTTTTTCTGTGAAGGAGACATGGCCATTCTCATACCACTGGACATTCAGACTGGTTCTTTGTTGATTTTCCAAGGCTAGGCTACCATCAGGCTGCCGTAGGACTTCTCACTATCCCAAGCCTTCCCTCCGGAGCGTCTTTAACTGCCTTCACACCTGTCCTGCCCACTCAGGGGTATAGGTATTGATGTGTGTCAATTTGTGACCTCATTCAAGGGTCCTTTACTCAGTTAACTGCATGTCTTTTCCATTTCACCATGTCAGGCTCTAGCCCGTGATAAATTCCCTGGGTCTCTATTATGCAAATCACCTCCAATCCTGTTTTGGAACAAGGTATGATATAAATAAAGAGAATGAATACACTTCCTGAGAGGACAAGGATTCTCTTTACAAATGGTACAGCACTACTATGCATAATTAGTGATGCATAGTGATTTCTTGCTTACGACAATTGCATGCGTTAATCTGTTAGGTGCTAGTATAAACAATAAGGTGCATAGTTTCACTTTAAGGGCTTGGAATAAAAGTCTCTTTTTCTTTTCTGTAGCTACCTAGAGAGGAGATGGGTTCAGGAGAAACAGATTTGAGAGAGGCCCTATAGGGAAGCGGTTATAAGCACACAGGATAATGAGCCAGACGGATCCGGGTTTGAGTCCCAGCTCTGCCATTATTGGATGAGAGACTTTGGACAAATTGTTTATCCTACATGAGTCATAGTTTCTACATCCCTACCTTCTTTAGAGGGTGGTTTAGGGATTAAATAAGACCCAGTATATAGTGAGTGTTCAGTCAACATTAATATTATTATTGGAATACTTTCTTTGAAATAACAATTTCAAAGCTTTGAATACATGATGATGGTGAACCTTATGTGGTCGTAAGGCACAAAATAATGAAACAACTGGAATGATCAGAATTTCCACTAAGGGGTTGTTTTTCACTTTCTCCCAGAATGGAGAAGGAAACCAGGCCTTTGACTGCGGACACAGCCTGCAGCTATGGGTTTAAATGAATGAATGACTGGAGTGTATCCTTGGGTAAGTAATTTAATTTCCTTGTATCTTACTTTCTCTTCTGTAGAATATTGATTCATGGAAAACTAATGGCTTTGGAAAACCCTCTAGATAGAGACTGTTTATAGCTGTGCTTATGTTGTTCTATGAGCATGGACGTGCTGGTAGTGCAGTTACTCAAATCCCATGTATTCCTTTCAGCGGCATTTGCCTACTGACGAAATGTTTGTGTGTTCATGTCACAAAGGCCCTCAGGAGAATGAAAGCCATTTTGACTGAGGTCTAATTTGAAGCGAGCTGGCACATGGACAGGACATAATGCTGGTGTGCTCTGCTTTAGAGAAGACCATTCGCCCATGAATTTGCAGATTAGCCTGAAGAATCGAAGGCAAATGATCAAGTCAGAGACCCCCAAGGACCCCTCTGCTTGCAAGTTTGGCTTCAGCAGGAATGATTACTGCTTCCTGGCTGCGTGTTGATTCATGCTTGTCCTATCAAAAAAGCATATCCTAGAGCAGAACAGTGATCAACTAAGAAAGAAAGCATTAATTATTAACCCAGGAAAACATTCAATCTCCCTACCTTTAGGGATTTGGAAATAATGGTATTTATTCCAAAGCAAGGATAGTGAAAAGTACTTAATAGTAGACTGAGTTGCTTTAAGAACTAACACTTTGGGTGTCAAATGCAATACAAACCACCACATAATGCCTGATACACAACAGACTCAGTGAAATTATGTTGAAATGAGTGAATGGATGAAGGAAGGAAGAAATTAGCAAAAAGCTAGAACTTGATATGTGGGCTGATTCATAGTTTGAATGACCCTAGACACGTCTCTTAACTTGAGCCTCAGTTTCTCATCTGGTAAACAGAAGCAATGTCCACTTCACTGGTTGGTTGTGAGAAAGAAATTGAATAATGCAGTTAGAGACGTGGTTAAAGGCACCTGACAGTCATAAGACCTAGATTGTAGATCAGGCTTAATTCAACACAATATAATTCATCAGATATTTACTGAGCACTTATTATTTGCCTGGCATTGTACCCCCAGGTGCTGGAATTGGATAAGAGATGAATAAGACAGCTAGGCTTGTCCCTTGGATAAGACAACTGGGATGATGGCAGACCCAGGTTCTGGATCGTAGCACTTTTACTTTATTTTACATATATTCCCCTAATAGGTCCCTCCAAACTCCACTCTGGTTGAGTTGCTCCAGTCCTTGCCCTGAAGAAACTCACAGTCTATTAGGAGAGACAAACCTGTAAACCCAAAATTCCAAAGCAGCATGCTAAAGGAACAATGGTGGTACATAGAATGCTTATGGAGGGAACGAGGAGAGGCTGATGAACTCTAGCGGGGGAGTTGGATAAAAGGTCCTGAAGGGGATGCTGTCTGACTGAATTATGGAAAATAAACAGGAGTTCTTACAGAGAGAAAAAGGAAAAAAAGGACATTTCAGATAGCAGGAAGCATAACATGCAAAGTCAAATAAACAGGAAATGGCCAGTTCCAGTTTCTGCAGCAAATAGCTCTATTTAACCTTTATGGAATTTGGAATGTCCTCAAGTCTCTCTGGGCTTCCAGTTTTCTCCTCTTAGAAAATGAAGGTTGGGGGGGGGGGAAGGGAAGAGCCAACCTAGATCTTCTGTAAGATGCTTTCTACCTGGATACCTCCTTGCTGGAGCAGAGAGAAAAGGGGTAGCTTTGGAAATATCAAGTGTTATTTTTAGGGCCTGAGCCAGAAACTCCATCTTTCTGACAATCTAGATGACAGGCAGAGCCTCTAGTCGTTCAGAAATTTCTGCGTACATTAATTCACCCACTTCACCAGCATTTATGGCACTGACTGAGCCAGGCCCTATGCTATGAAGGAGGCCACCGTCCAGCAGAGGGAGACATGAAAATAAGTACACGAGTACCATGGAAATCATGTTGGTCTGCACGTGGCAGGTGCGTGGAGGCAGTAAAACAGAAGCCCCTAGGGCGTGTAGGTCACACGCAGGGTGAGACGATTTAGCTCCCAGCAAAAAGGAACTTCCTGGTTCCTCGTCCTGCTTCACCTTCTCCAAGGGGTCGCCGACATTCTCAGCTGCCAATTCTCCCTTGGCATGGCGACGAGGCGTCCTCTCTTCACCTGCAACCTTTCACAAGCGTGAGGGGCTCCACGCATGCAGAGCGGATGCAGGTGCCAGGGCTGACCAGAGGGTGTCTGCTCCCGCGACAGCTTCGCTCACAACCGAGCACCCGCTGCAGGGGCCCCCAGCGTCGGCGGGGAGGGGTGGCGGGGAAGGCGAGCTGTCCAGTGCCTCCAGGGGTTGGGCTCACGGCCAGCTGGGCGGGACTCAAGCTACCGATATAAGAGAGGAGCGCCACTGTCCCGGCCACAACGCTGGAGCTAGCTCCCCAGCTGGGACCCGGAGGCGACGGGCACTGAACTTGCAACTCACGCCCAGAGTGACTGAAGAAGAGGGAAAGGTCTGATTTCTGTTTCTTCGTTTGTTTAGTACCAATGAATGGGAGGCGGGGCGGGTTTGTGGGCGCGCGAGAGATGGGCTCGACCTGCCGGGGTCGTAGGCGCATCAGAGGGGTCGGGGAGGGGTCCAGCCACGTCTCGAGGGGCCCCAGGCGCCCAAACTCAGCAGCTTCTCTCCCCTGCAGGAGCGCTTTTTCCCACCACTCCCAGCCCCAGCCTTGGAAGATGCGGCTCCTCGGGAAACTCCGCGCCTCGGCCGCGGGCAGCGCTGCGCCGGAGCTCGCCTTCCCTAACGTGCTCACCCCGGGCCGGATCCCCGAGTTCTGCATCCCGCCGCGGCTGCCTGCGCCCTGCGCGCCCGAGTCTCCGCCCCCAGACGCCTCTCTGCCCCGGCGGTGCGCGGCCGACCAGGACCTGTGGCCCCGAGAAGCCGACGAGGGCGCTGGGCGCACGGACTGGGACCCGCGCTCGCAGGCCGCGCTCTCGCTGCCGCACTTGCCCCGCGCGCGCACCGCCTACGGCTTCTGCGCGCTGCTCGAGAGCCCGCACACGCGCCGCAAGGAGTCGCTCTTCCTTGGGGGTCCCCGCGCTGCCGCGATTCGCCCCCGGGCCCACACCTTCGGCGGCGGCGGCCGAGGAGACGGCCCCCTTGTGCCCCGGGGCGGAGCCCCAGCCACCACCCCCACGGCCCCCGGTGGTCTCCGCCCGCCCCGAGACGCGCTCGCCCCGAGGCCCCGCGGCTTCCGCCTCCTGCGCGCCCCTGAAGGGCTGCTGAGACGCGCGCTGCGAGCCCGCAGGAGTCGCCGCCTGGCGCGCGCCCCGTCTGTGTCCAGCGGGGACGAGGACGAGGAGCGCAGCGCCGGCTCG